ATGTATTATGTAATGAATTATTGAATAGTCTACTGGGGGAGGATGGGTATAAATGACTAACGATGAATGAATGATTTCATGCATAAATGAAAATGAAAATGATCTACGTATTGAGTCTACCATATCTTTTTAGATATTTAACTTTGAAATGATAAAGATGAATAGCTACGTATGTAACTTTATGAAAAGAATATTTATATATGCCAGCAATTACAGTTACATTATGAAAGTTATTAGGGATGATTGTTAATTGCGATCCCCAAATGCGCTAGTACGGCTGAGAGTGGAGAGAGTCAGCTCTCTCGCTCTCTCTCAAGTGGCCACATGCATACAACCACTGCCTTCTCGAGGCGGGAGTGTTGACTATGAAATTGAGAGGACGAAAAACGAATATCCGGAGATTTAACCGGGTTGGTGGTCACCGAGGATCCACTTAGGGGAGTTGGGAAACCGTGATTCCAAACCAATGATGTACATGGACTCCTGGATCCTGAGTAAATAAATGGCGTATGAAACTATTATTGGTCACCGGTTACCATGGGACTGTGTTTCCTTACGTTACCCCACTGCTTTGTGGATTAGACCTTTAGGTCAAAGGCTTCGGGTGTGGCTCCCTAAGAAAACCACCTGTTCCGGTCTGCACACACATGTAGTAACACAGACCTCATACAAATGGAATGATTTATGTGGCGCATATCTATTTGATGACTTCTTGTATCAATGTTACTGTTCAAATAATTAAATAAATGAATAAATAAAACCAATCAACCAAATCACTCTAGTCACTTTTATACAAACTGAAGGATGAAATGATAAAAGAAGAATGGTCGATTATCATCAACAAAACGAAATATTTCAACTTTATCCAAATAACATTAAGCGAAATGATCACTACTTTTATCTTAGTCTGCATGAATTCCAATTAGCTGTCAAACTCTACAATGTATCTTAGCTAATATTAATGGATGTAGACAATTATAACTATACAGTCGACTAGAAAAATGTTATAATGTTAAACAAAGGGAATGTAACGGAGATCAGAGAATTTTTATACACTTCACACTCAGGCTAACCAGTAATTAAGAAGTCAGTCCAACATATAAACTACCTAGAAAATCAATGAAAGCATCACGATTGAAATCATCAAGTAAAGAGAACGCAAGAATGCTGTGGGTTTGGGCTCATGTAAAGTTATTGGTATATACGTTGCTTAAAAGTTCCATATCACCATGGAACAACTATTTATTGACTTATAACCAGATATCGAGCTTCAGTGCTTCACAATCTTGACGTTTCAAACTGATTTCAGGTATTAGTTTGAGGGTTTTTTGAAGATATCTGAATGTTGCAGTTTACATCACGAAATGACCTTGGTTATATAACCATTGAAGACTGGGAGGAATTGGATAGGTGGTTCGTCCTAGCATAAAACTTTTCAACAGTTTACAACCACGAACCCTCTAAGATCAAAGCTAAGGAATTCAGATATCACGAAGAGTGCCTCATCTTTACATCACTGAATTGACATCCATAGGTATACGTCACAACACTTGTGTGGTTTGTAGGCAAACTATGTTGACGATTATGATGCTATGACAAAACAGCTGTTCAACGCTATGTGTTTTACAATGGTTGTTTATTACATATGTACTATCGCAAACTAAACGGCCGCAGTTTGAACTCAAATGATTATGGCTTTTCAATAGAAGTCGACAATTACCTCTTGAGATTAATCACCAATGAACACATGATATAGTGACATCAATAATGCTAAATAATCCACACAAACATCTATGCCGATAATAGTTGAACAGTCTAAAACTGATATCATCTTTGGTATTTGACTCTCTCTCTCTCTCTCATAAACACTATTTTACTAGATCCTATATATTAATCGATGAAAAGAGTTGAAACGTCTAATGTTCTCTTTTTTTCCAGAACCGGTTTGATGATAACTAAGAAATAAGATGTCAAATGTAATTTCTTCACTTGTCGAGTAATCTGGAAACTCTCATTTGACTGTCCTGATAGTAATCACTGTTACGAAAGATAATCTTTTATCAAGTTAATTTCATTCTGAGTACATTGTTTAGTTACGTAATCAATTATTTCTTTACTGCCAATGTGATTGATCAGATCCTACGCAAATGTATATTTGAAATGTAATCTATACTATGTTATGATAAATTAAAAACGATCTTAACTACACTCTTAGTAATATCATCTTTTGTCTGGCTTATTGACTGTTCCTTCATTTCTACACCACTCACTCTCTGTTCTCAATTTTTTCTCTTCGATCTTCGATCGTCTTAGCCTTCTGCCGCCAGGTATTTCAGTTTCGATTGATGATACATACTACTTATACCTATCGATATCAGTAGCATAAAACACACTATTATAAACTCTTATCACAAGTCGATTGATTAAACTATGTCAGTGTACCATTTTCTTTTTATTTCTAAGGTGTTGTTAGCTAATGAGAGTTGATGCAAGTGAACATTGAATTTATTGTATTATAATAATTTTTAATTTGGTGATTAATTATGATCATCTAACTGGTTTATGTGTTAAGGATTAAGTATAGAATTCATTGAAATCTATCAACTAATCAACTTGCATATTATAATCCTGTAGGAGGCTAGTTGGTGCCCGAATAGCTCAATGACAATATCTTAAACTGGATGACTCATATCTGAATTCACCAAGAAACATCAATTCTTTGAGGATTGCATGTATTCTTTTGCTGACAAGTGTCAACTAACATGAAAATCACGTTCATGTTTTTTTATCGACTACTTTCAACCAACTAATAAACAGGAAACGCATAGACTATTCAGTCAAACAGTCAGTCAGCAACAACGTAGGACTAGGCACATATGTGTACCAGTCCAAATTGCTATACCTCATTAGCACAACAAGATGAATATCGAATTCATAGAGGTAGTCACTTCAATCATAGTAAAGTATAAAAGAAAGATAGCATATGAAGATATAGTACAAGAAGAAAGAATTAGTTGGTAGGAAGAAAGATATGGAGCGATTTTAATATCACCATATAAGGGAAGACAGAGAAAGTTGTTAAAGAATTAATGCTTTACGCTACATCCATTAATTTTAATTCATACAACTTAAAATGTGATGCAAATGAATCATTATTGTATCACCAATCTCAGTTTGGAAAGGACAGGAGGCTTGATGGCCTGTGTTAGTCCTGGCAATGGTGGTCTCTCAGTTGATCAAACTTTCTTTTGAAAGAGTCGACGGATGGAGCCTCAACCACGTGCTGAGGTAAAGAATTTCACTCGTTGATCATTCGATGGGAAGGTCGACAGTCAGCTGACAAGTAATTTGTTCTGGTCTTGTGAACTTTTTTGGAGTGTCCTCGTAAATTCTCTGTTTTGGATGTCAATGTAGTTTTTTAAAAAAAGTGTTTGAATATATATTTGAATTAAAGTAGTTACATTTGCCAGTTTTAGTCAAATTTCATTTAAAATTTTCTAATATCGATAAACGTTGTTATGCTTGTGAGGTGTGTACTACTGAAATCGATAGATATATAAGTAGTATATATTATCAATCGAAAATGAAATACCTGGATACAGAAAGTTAATAAGATCAAAGAAAACAGAATGAGAACAGAAAATGATTTGTGTGTATTATATAACGCGAGTCAGGAATAGAATTTCTGGCAGCAAAAGATTGAGTAGATCGAAAAGGAAAGAACGGGAACAGAAAGCAATTAGTATGGAAATGAAGGAATAATGAACTCTGAGACAATTAATAACCATTTTGTAGATGAGATATTATAGTATGGTTTTGCTATTTCACCAAGTCATATTGTATATTTCTGTATGGCTTTAAATTTTATTAACCAAGTAAATATATATTCAACGAATCACGTTACACAGGATCATCAAACACATTTCATTGACAGTACGGAGTTGTGGAGACTGTTGAGTTTTTGACTGAAATCATGAATCGATCAATGTTAGACCACCATTATAAACCTGAAATCACTAGAGGACGGTTCCGTCCTAATATGGAGCACCGTTGGATGATGGCGCAGTGGTCTAGAGGTTGAGCATTTGCATACGAGTTTGACGGTCCTCGGATCGTGAGCGCGTACTGCTGAAAAATCTCATCCTAGAATGAATTGGCCTTATAGTGCTTTCAGGTTTTCAATGGTGGTCTAATATCAATCGATTCATGATGTCACTTAATCAAGAACACTTTATTGACTTTGAATGATTAGACTCAAATGGCAAAATGCTTAAACATAGTATCAATGACTACTCAGAAACAGAAGACTACAAACGTATCTGTGTTAAAAAAGATCATTAATAACCCCCAAATAGTTCAGCAGTAGCATCTCCAACAGTTAAACTAGTTGATTCATATTCAGATTATACTTGAAATATACGTTTTTTCAAGATTACAGATACATTTATCTGACGAGTATATAAGTCAAACAGAATGCTCACATTGATTGGTTCAATTCATCAAACACAAGAACTTAATCAGATTAGAAAAATATTCTAGTTCACCATGTGTTCACTAGTGACTAGCTTCGTGAGAAAATTCTCGGAGTTCTAGTAGGAAGCCGTGACCACTGGAGGTAATCCATGTCGGACAGAAACACGTGTCTACCTCAGTACAATGGAAGATGGTTGTGCAACTTCGTGGATTGATTGAGCTTAGAAATTAACACTATTGGATGCCGGCTCAGTGATTCAATAGGTTAAGCGTTTGCGCGCTAGACTGAAGAACCTGGGTTCGAATATCGCGGGGTGCGAGATCATGGATAGGCACTGATGAGGAGTCACACAATAGGACGAAACGGTCGTCCAGTGCTTCCAGGTTTTCCATTGTGGTCTAGCTTCAATTTACTCATGATTTCAATCGAAAATTTATACAAATATTGATAGTAATTGTAGTATCATTATTACTACTGTTATTAGTATTGTCCATCCAAATCATCATCATCAGGAAAAATTACTTACCAAATAATATATTCACAATTGATGGTGGTAAATTTAATGTTACATGTAATAAAGCAGCTATTGCTTGTGATCCAATAAAAAAATAAATTATAGATACATTTTTACCATTTCCTTTTGTTTGTAATATACCACCAAGTAGAATACAATTAGTTAACCATGTTAATATAATTAATGTAATACATAAACATAATACAGTTAAATTAGTTGATTGTAATTGATAATTATTAGCATTAATAGTTGTATGAATAAGATGAGTGAATTCATGACTTTTATTCATTAATAATTATTTGTCTATTTAAACAACTAAGAATTTGGTAACATTGAACAACAGATTAATAATTAATTGAAATCTATTTTTCATCCATTTGATATTTAACAAAATTAATAGAATTTTTAAAATTCTAATTCCAATTGGTCAATTCGACACAACAGAATTCTTTTTATTTTATTCTGATTGGTCGATTCGACACAACAGAACTCTTTTTATCTTATTCTGATTGGTTGATTCAATACAACAGAACTCTTTTTATTTTATTCTGATTGGTTGATTCAATACAATAAAGTTCTTCTTACTATATTCTGATTGGTTGATTCGATTCAACAAAGTTCTCTAGTTAAAAGACTAATATTTGAACGAAGAATATTCTTTTCGATAAATTCTCTTCAGGTTCTACAATTATCCCATATCCAAATTAATAATCCGAAAAAATGGCCAAGTTAAGGGGGAAAGTACATCGTTTAGAGCATGTGAATTTAGGATTGTGATAGAGAAAATACAATAAAATTGTTAATGTTAATAGGACTCATATAAAATGTTAACTTGAATCTGCGTATATGTTAAGTGAAATCTTTTAAGATCCATGATCAGAATAAATATGGGTCAAACGACTGAAGCAGTAGCCATCCGAATGAAGAAACCGGAGCTATGCGTACAGAAGAAATATATTCAGCCACTCCTCCTCCTCTGGACAACATCAAGGCCAATTAATCAATCGTAATCTTAACTATTGAATGACCCAATTTGACTATGACCTTTCTTAGTCAATTGTAATTGTCCCTGTTATCTTTGTTCATAAATCTTTGTATTATTATTATTATTATTATTATTATTATTATTATTATTCGTATTATTGGTTAAACATCATTAATCTCTCCTATACATGATTCATTCACTTCTCATTCATCCCTCTGTATTACGTCGTACTTATTTGATCGAATTGTAATTGCACTATTATTTCTGTCTCACCTTATCTGACCCATATTTATTCTGATCATGGATCTTAAAAGATTTCACTTAACATATACGCAGATTCAAGTTAACATTTTATATGAGTCCTATTAACATTAACAATTTTATTGTATTTTCTCTATCACAATCCTAAATTCACATGCTCTAAACGATGTACTTTCCCCCTTAACTTGGCCATTTTTTCGGATTATTAATTTAGATATGGGATAATTGTAGAACCTGAAGAGAATTTATCGAAAAGAATATTCTTCGTTCAAATATTAGTCATTGAATATGACGGGGATCTTTAAACGATTAAAAAGTTCTTTTTATTTTATTCTGATTAATTGATTGGCTACAACAGAATTATTTTACAATTTTATTCTATTCTGATTGGTTGATTCTATATTGATGAAAGAATTTTTAAAAAAAAAATTAATTACATAACATTTGTAAATGAAATTCTCTCTTCACATGATTACTTCATTATAGAATCTTTTATATGAATGAAAATTTGAATGTATATCCAGCTATTCCATCACAGAATCCATCGTGATGCCAATATGATAATTAAAAATATTTAAATTATTGTTCGTAATAGAAGCCGACGAAATAGTGGAATTGACGTCAAAAGGAACTAAATGAGAACAAATAAACTTACTGTATTTGAAATTCGTAACCAGCAGGAAATCAGGTACAAATACCACAAATCATTAGAACACAGCCGTTTATCATCATCTGCTTCTCTTTGTTTCATTTCCAGTTAGCCAGTAAAGAGCAAACATATTTGAGATTGCTAGTGCATTTTTTGACAGTTGGAAAATATTGCACTGCAGGGTAAATGGTTGAAGTGTTTCCCAAAACTGACTACAAAGTTATGACATCACGTTTCTTAGAAAAAATTTGTTTAGTAGATAAAGAAGGAACGAATTGAGCGAAGAAATTTCTTTTCAATTAGTTTTTCATCATGGCTCTACACTAATATATATACGTTTTACAATAATAATATAATACTCATCGAGTGGATACGTTACGTTACATTTAAATTAACATTGATTAATTGGAAGAAAGAGGATTATTAATATTCAAAGTGATCAAGAAGTTGCTAAGTTGCGTAATGTAAGAAACAAAGAAGGAACAGAATTTTAACGGATAGTCAATAGGATAGTAGTTACGTAAGAATCAAGAGATGAATGTTGAGAAGTTATTAAGTACCAAAGCAACAGAAATAAAATTACAAGAGTTAAAGAAAAACAACAAGTGGAAGAAGTATGAAAAATAGTTCTTTTGAAGGAAATCTTAAACTGATGGCCAGGGCAGGGAAAGTGGTTGTACGAATCTCTTTTGAATGCATAGGTCAGGTTTGTGAACATGGATTGCGATGGCTTCCGCAATGTGCAAGAGGCGCACTCGTAAACCATGTGGCAAATTAAATGGGATATTGTAGATAACCTTAAAAGCTTTATTCAATTCGACTTGATGACCTGTGTCAACCAAGTGAGAGAGAATATAACTTTTAATCACTTTTACCTGTTCTTTGTTTAACCACGACGGATGATGTTCAGTAATGCGATGACGGACTTGCCGAATTGTACGCCCAATATAACTGCCTCCACAGGAGCATTTGAAACGGTAGATACACATAGATTTGCCGAATTCAGGCAGTCTGTCTTTGTTGGATGTTCTTATCTTGGGATAGTTGTAGAAGATTGCATTTAATCTGGCAGCATTAAATGTTTTTTGTACGACTCTTCTTAGTTTCTGAGTCAAGATTTCTTCAATGGTGTCATTTATGAATTGTAGTTTTATGAATAGTACCTTCTTATGGACGGTGGGTATCTTTGTCCTTGTTTTCTTCTCCATCATATGTTTGTCGATAAATTTCATGGGATACCCATTCATGCTAAGTGGGTTCCGAATATTATTCAATTTACTTAATACATTTAATAACGTTCATCCATCAATTAATTTCACATCAGTCTGACTATGTCAGAAGATGCTGGCCCACTTGACGCACCATCATAAAAAATGGATCTTGATCGATACCCAGCGCACTATTCAACAGAGGAATAATAAGGTGACAGCAATTAACATCAGCCGAACGAGAACGGGAAGGACCAGATACAGGCCGAATACACAGGAGTAAACAAGAGGGTCAAGAGATGCATCTGATGCAATATTCATTTGGAAGCTGGTTTGTTCTATCCCACAGTAAGATTTTGCTGATGGCAGCTTCAGTAGACAACTGTTTTATAAATACCTGTACGTGCCTGATTATTGTTGTGGTAGTTATTGAATCCTACGCTCCGTACAATAGAACTGCCTTGACGTTCAGATTGAAGATTCTGAATTAAATATTAGTTGGTAGTCGTTTTGAGCCCTATATGTTCTTCAACTGTAAGAGTGATGTCTTTTCTGTGTCAACCCTTACTATTACGTCTGCATCGGATCTTCCTTGTTCATCGATGATTCTCTTATCCACACTGCCGAATGCCTTCTCGTAATCAAGAAAGTTGATATTTAGTGACCAGATCCGTTCCTTTTTCTGCTGGATGTCGACTGGATTGTGAAAAGCAATATTGTCACGATTGAAGAAAATATCGAATTCAAAAGAAATTTCAGTCAATACAACATCAGAATCTTCAACACAAACGTCAATATAACCGTGTTGTACGGAGCTGTGATGTGTTGGTACAACAGATTCAGACATTCACAAACAATGATCTATACAAGACACATTAGATCCCTTGGACACTAACCATCAGCAACAACATACTGTGGCAGAGAACAAAAAAATTCTAGCTGAAGAGGGATTCAACAAAGAACTCTGGAGGCTAGTTGGACTTACATTGTGGAACTCACCAAACTGCGTCAACAGTTAATCTGCGAATTAGAATCCTCAGAGCAAAAGGAAATGAGGTAGACATAAGGAAACATTGTGTCAGGAGACTGAGGCAAACATTAAAACAATGAATAGTACTTGACAACAACTGGAAAGGAGAGTCCAGGATAGAATGTGTTATAACGTGACGGCAGATTAGAGGGTAGCGAATTATTGACCGGACCAAGGACGCCCAAACACGTAGAACGACCTAGGGTTCTGATTGGCCTCGCTTCCCTGTCTAACCCAGCCAGTTGAGTCCAGAACACAAGTCAAAGCCTCGGATATATGAATCCTTATATTTCAAACATACTTTGTTTATATACCAGTCAAGCAGACCACAACGTACCATAAAATAGAAAATAACATTGTACAAAAATGGCCAGTAAGAAAATGACACGTTAAACAAATATTGACCAATAAGATGATACCACTTCATGTCCAAGGATAGCATTAGGCTTAACAGGATAATTTTTTGGATATTTTTCTGAATATCCCAACAAAATGTTTCGCAAAATTCTGATCTGAGCCCCATGTCCTACGAGGTGTAGAGCATGTGAGTAAATATGTCAGTGTTAGGATGTAATTAAAGATGTTGTTGGATGAGTCGACAAGTAAGTTACAAAAGAAATCAATAATCTTTTAATGTTTATTGTTCATTAAACGAAAAACATAAACTATTCAGGTATATAATTTGTCTGAATATTACGTCTAGAGGTCGTACGACGATAGACATAAAGGGCGGAGTGTATTCATAAAATTCTCTTTTCTAATTAGCAGTAAAAAACACTGTTCAGTTTATTTGTTTTACTTTGAAAGGTCGTCTGATCTCAACTGTTCTCTTTTCAGAAAACACAGACTTCTTCCTCTAATAACGCTGAGACCAGTTTGATTCAAAACGAAAGGTTTTATTCAAAAACTCTATTCATTTTGAAATTAGTTGATGGTTGAACATTCTTTTAGAGATGCAAATGTCGGTCAAATAAGAATGCAACGTATCTGTTTGTGCTTTATTCATTCATTGAATGAATTTTGCATAGTTTCTAAATGTTGATTACAATCATTGATATCCACGAAGTTGCACAACCATCTTCCATTGTACTGAGGTAGACACGTGTTTCTACCCGACATGGATTACCTCCAGTGGTCACGGCTTCCTACTATAGGGGTTGTGGAGATTGTTAAGTTTTGTTTAAGATCTCACGAGCGGCATCGCAAATGCGCAGTGCTGA